AGGAGATGAAATAAAAATATTCTATTCTATAGGTGTTTATGGGTAACTCATTCTACCAAATTTAATTTGAATTTCTTTGACATTAAACTAAGTCAAGAGATATATGAATTGTATCAGACTCTCTCTCTTTCATTTTTCATTTTATCTTGAGATTGATCAATCTTGTTGGGTATCACAAAATATTGCGACATGAAAGTTCAATGAAGACTCGATATTTCCATTCATAATGAATAAATTGTCTAGCCCTTGCAAAATGAATCGGGCTATAGTTATACAAGATTTGATAGAATAAAAGTGTTGAAACTGGTGATATTTTGCTAGAAATACAGAAAATTCAATTAACATTTTGAAAAACTTTTCTGGCCCCAAAAGCTTCACGTTTACTGTTTTGGTTGTAGTTGGTGGAGCTGTTGTCCTAATGCATTTTGTGATATGTTTAGCTGAGCTTAACTGTAATTAAGACTTGTATTTGAAAGACATAGTTGCATTAGTTGTAAGTGTTTAGTTTAGATTCAAATTTGTAAAATATCCACTGCATTAGGTGAAAATAATGGAATGACTTTGTGTATAAATTACCCTTGTTTTTTGAATGCAAAACAGAACACTAATTGCTGTAGCCATCTCTCTCTACTCTCTAGCAAAACCAACAATTGGTATCAGAGCCGTCATTGATCTTAAAGGGCCTGAAACACTCATCTCCTCATATCCATCTTCTCAACCCCTTTCATGATAACTTCAGTATCAAACTCTAGACAACCTGATTCAATGGCACAACATATGACTTCTCTTACTCCTCTAGTCTTCAATGGTGAACAATACCACATGTGGGCTGTTAACATGAACGCATTCCTTCGAGGCCAAGGCTTGTGGCAATATGTAGAAGAAAATAGGCAACCAACACAGTTGGGACCAAAACTCACCTTGAATAAGATCAGGATACATGAAGAAGAAGCTGCCAAGGCTTCGAAAGCTTTGTCTCACATCCATGCAGCTGTAATAGTTCTTGTATTTACAAGGATTATGGCGTGTGAAACACCAAAAGAAGCTTGGGATAAGTTGAGAGAGGAGTTCATGGGAAGTGACACAACAAGAGGTATGCAAGTGTTGAACTTGAGAAGGGAGTTCGAAATGTTGAGAATGCCAGAATTTGAGAAGGTAAAGGAGTATGTTGACAGGTTGATGAGTATAGTCAACAAGATTAGGCTGCTTGGAGTGGAGTTGATAGATAGCAGGATTGTTGAGAAGGTTTTGGAGAGCTTGCCCGAAAGGTTTGAGTCCAAAATCTCTTCTCTTGAGGGCTCGAAGGACTTGTCTCAGATCACTCTCACTGAGCCAGTCCATGCTTTACAAGCTCAAGAGCAAAGGAGACTCCCAAGACAAGAAGATGTAAGTAAAGGTGCTTTGATGGTAGGTCACAAAGGAAAGTTTATGCAGGGAGGTAGTAAGAAGAATGTTGGAGACAATAAGGGGAAGGAAATGGCCAAAAATCAGTGGAACAAATTAGGTTGGATGAAGGATTATCCACCTTGCTCTCACTGTAAGAAGAAGAGCCATTTCAAGGAAAGGTATTGGTTTAGGCTAGGAATCTAATGTCTGGCCTACAAGTAGTTTGGCCACATTAAGAGAGTCTGCAAAAACAAAGGAGAATCATCCCAACAGCAAGCACAAATCATTGAGGATCAGCAGCAAAGCCAAGAATCTGAGTTTACAATGAGACCTAGTTGGTTGATATTAGCTGCACCAACCACATGACATCAAACTTGCAAGGTTTCATCTGCTTGGATAAGACATACCAGTCTAGAGTCAAGATTTGGAATGGAGAGTTTGTGGATGTCAAGGGTAGAGGTGATGTAGCTGTGCAAACTCAATCAGGTACCACGCTGATTCCTAATGTCCCTTATGTTCCAGAAAAAAGCCAAAGCTTGCTTAGTGTAAGACAAATGTTAGAAAGAAAATATGTCTTGCATTTCCAAGAACAGACCTTCAAAATTCTAGACAGTGAGGGCTATGAACTTATGAAGTTTAGGATGAAGGGAAAAAGCTTCTCTATTGAATGGAAAAAATCAGAATTTAGAGCTCATAGTGCTAAGGTAGATGAATTTAAACTATGGCATAAAAGGTTTGGCAATTTTCATTACCATGGCCTCAAAGAAATTCGGACCAAAAGGTTGGTCCATAATCTGCATGAGATTGAAGAAACCAAGGCTGTATGCCTTGCTTGTCAACTTGGCAAGTTGAGCAGGTAGCCCTTTCCTATGAACAAAGCTTGGAGAGCTGTTGAGAAACTCCACCTCATCTACAAAGATGTATGTGGATCTATGCAAACACCTTCGTTGAATGGGAGTAAATATTTTGTCTTATTCATGGATGATTGGCCCAGGATGTGTTGGGTGTATTTCTTGAAACAAAAGAATGAAGTGGCTACTGTGTTTGGGAGGTTTAAGCTGCAAGTTGAAAACCAAACTAGTTTAAGCATTAAAACCGTGAGGAGTGACAATGGGACTGAGCATACTTCAAGCGAGTTTGAAATAATTTGCAAAGAAGTTAGAATTAAGCATCAATTCAGCAGTCCCTATACTCCATAACATAATGGAGTTAGTAAGAGGAAGAATAAGATTGTTATGGAGATGGCAAGATGCATGGTTCTGAGAAGAAATTGCCGAAATCCTTTTGGGCAGAGGCTATCAACACTGCAATCTATCTATTCAATAGGCTTCCCACAAAAATCTTGATCAACCAAACTCCATTTGAAGGCTGGTATGGAGTAAAGCCAGCTGTGGATAATCTAAGAGTTTTGGGGAGCATTTGCTATGCTCTTGTTCCAACAATCAAGAGGAGCAAGTTGGATGACAAAGCTATGATAGGGATCTTCACTGGATATAACAATCAATCTATGGCCTATAGAGTGGATGTTTTAGAAACCAAGAAGATACACATCACATGGGATGTTAAAGTTGATGAGAAGGGTGTTTGGAATTGGGAGGAAGACAAAGTTGATGAAGAAGTAAGACCACGGCTAATAGGACTTGCAGGGAACCAAAATGATGAAGAAGATGAGAATGATGCAGATGAAGAGTTCTCAGTTAGAGGCACCAGACTTTTAGCTGAGGTGTATTAGAGGTGCAACATGGTTGCACTTGAACCAGCAAACTTCTTTGAAGTAGCAAAATTAGAGGCTTGGAGAGTTGCCATGAAGGAGGAGTTAGCAATGATAGAGAAGAATCAAACCTGGAAGCTTGTGGACAGACTGGAGAATAGAAAAGTAATCAAAGTCAAGTGGATTTTCAAGAAAAAGCTTAATCCGGATGGTTCAGTTCATAAGATTTTTAGGACACCTTTGCACTGGTAGCTAGGCATAGCACAATTAGATTGCTACTTGCTTTGGCGACTCAATTTGGCTAGAAAATTTTTCAGCTAAATGTCAAATCTGCATTCTTAAATGGTTGGCTCAATGAAGAGATTTATGTCGAGCAACCGGAAGGGTATCAAGTTGAGGACCAGGAGAATAAAGTTTATCTCCTAAGGAAGGCATTATATGGCCTAAAATAGGCTCTTAGAGCCTGGTACAACATAATCTTGATTAGTTTGGGATATGTGAGGAGTCCCAATAGCACACCTTGTATGTGAGAGAGCTAGAAGGGAATTGGTCATTGTCTCATTGTATGTAGATGACCTACTAATCAGTGGAAGGAGTTCAAGTCAACTAGACGAGTTTAAAGAAACCATGCATATTGAATTCGAAATGACTGACTTGGGGGAAATGTTCTACTTCCTTGGTATGGAAATCAATCAAGCTTCACGTGGGATATTTGTCAATTGGTTGCAAATCAGAAGCTAAGCAAAGAATAAGGTAGATGAGGGATTATATAGGATCTTGATAGACCTGATCTTATGTTTGGAACTAGTCTTCTCTCCTGGTTTATGAGCTACCCGGGTGAAATTCACCTTAGGGCAGCCAAGAGAGTGCTGAGATACATTACAGGTAGCTCTGAATCTGGTGTGTGGTTTAAAAGGTCTAAAGATTTTCGGCTTGTTGGATACTCTGATAGTCATTGGGCTGGATCAACTGATGATATGAGAAGTACATCCAGCTATGTGCTCTTCTTGAATTTAGAAGCTGTTTGTTGGCTATCCAAAAAGCAAGTAGCTCAGTCCACAACAGAAGCAAAATACATCTCTACTGCTGCTGCTGTGAACCAAGCCTTTTGGTAAGAAAAATTTTAGAAGATTTGAAGCAAAAACAAAGGAATCCTACTATGATTCTAAGTGATAATCAGTCTGCAGTTGCAATGGCTAAAACTCCTGTCTTACATGGTTGAACTAAGCATTTCAAGATCAAATTTCATGCTGTAAGGGAGGCTGAATGTAATGGACGAGTTCAGATGGTCCATTGCAAGGGTGAAGATCAAGTGGTAGACATCATGACCAAAACTTTGTCCAAAGCCAAGTTTAAAGATTTAAGGCTCAAACTTGGTGTTTCCAGCAAAAATATCAAGGAGAGTGTTGAAGCTGGTGATATTTTCTTGGAAATGCAGAAAATTCAGTTAACATTTTGAAAAACTTTTTTGGTGCCAAAGTTTCAAGTTTGCTGTTTTGGTTGCAGTTGGTGGAGCTGCTGTCCCTTTGTGATGTAATTTGTGATATGTTTAGTTGAGTTCAGATATGATTAAAACTTATATTTGAAAGACATATAATTGCATTAGTTGTAAGTGTTTAGTTTAAATTCAAATTTGTAAAATATCCACTGCATTAGGTGAAAACAGTGGACTGACTTTGTGTATTAATTACCCCTGTTTTTTGAATGCAAAACAGAGCACTCATTGCTGCAGCCGTCTCTCTCTTTACTCAATATTATCCTCCTTAGCACTCTCCAGCAAAACAAACACATAATCTACATAATACTTATCAAGAAAGATTTTGGTGTATGGTATATCATCAATGATGGAAGAGACGCGGCCCTTCTTACTTCCTACTTATCCATGATGGTAAAAAATACTTCTCAAATAAAAAAAGATTCATTTACACCTACACCTCTACTCTAAAGTTCACAAGGCCCCTCTGAGGTACTCTTTTACATCGATTTTCTAGTTGTTTATAGAGAGATACTCTTTTACAAACTTAATTCGTCCCCACATAATGTCTTTGAGGTTAAAGTTCTTCACAAAGTGCCAGTTTTTGTAAAGCTTAAAACTATAGAGCACCGCTAGAGCTAAAGCTGAAGAGACTCCACTGATGAGGAATAAACCACGAAAGCTATCAAGGGTAAGAGGCTTCACAACGCTTGAAGGGTCATCATCCTCAGATGCGAAGGTTGATTGTCTCTTAAACCATTCGTGCTCCAACTTCATAAGCTTTCCATTTTCTCTTAGTTTTGCAATTGCCCTAGACATGTAAGGAACCAACGAAGAACCTTTACGAAAAGCCTGAAAAATCGGTAGTAGTCAAACACACGCACACACACACACACATATTTGCAAATACATAAGAAAAAAAAAAAGGTTTTATGATACTCACAAAAGCAAAGCCATTTGTGGTAGAAGTGGATCCAATCATGGCATAATCTGCAGAATACTTTGCAAGGAAGATTTTGATGTATGGTATCTCATCAATGATAGCAGAGACACCGCCCTTCTTACTTCCTCTTGATAAAGCATTAGCATACTCTTCAGGAGAACAGAATGGTCGAAGATTAGAATTCCTGAAATTTAGGTTACTAATGACTCCCCGGGTGATGGAACTATCGGTTTGGTATCCTATATAATTCTCCTTTGAGTTCAGTTGAATCTGTTGAACTGTAATCATTGAAGTCAAAGTTGCAGTATAACTAGAAGTCAATATAAGCACGACGAACACCCACACGATCACCACAAATCTTGAAAAATTACTTAACAGCTTCTCCTCTGTAACAATTGAATTAATGTGTATTGTGTGAGTAACCTAAATAATGAAATTTTTTTCAAGAATTGTGCAATGAGAAAGTGCTTACTATGAGCAAAAGCTAGGGTTGAAAAGGAGAACCAGAAAATCATTCCAATTTGGTGAGATATTGGACCTTGAAATTCATTGTTAATAGGACGTTCAATTAGCCAAATGACAATGCCGGTCAAGATAAAAAGGCCAGCACTTGATAACCAAAGATCACCCGTTAGCGGCTTCAAGAAAATCCACATGTTTTTGTTGTTTTTTGGGGCGATAGTTCCAACTCCCAAATCAGTATAAGGTATTGTAAAATCAACATATAAACTTCTGTTTGCCGTCATTGTTATATCTCCAACAGCACCATCATATTTCTATTTTTTTTCCCCAAAAGATGCAAAAGAATGTAGAGAAAATTAATGTAACATCAAGCAACATTATTGGTTTAAAACTTGTTAAGAAGAAATATAAAAGAAAACAAGTTTTGTGTTTTTGGATAAAAAAGGATTATATATATATATAAAACCTGTGACAAGCTTACCTTAAGATAGATCTCGTCAATAAGTTCACTATAAGTCCCAATATTCTTCCCAGTTGCATTCAGAAATGGCATAAACTCATAATCTACTTCAAGCTCAAGCTCAAGCTCTGCCTTTTCAATAGCAGCCTTGAATACATCTATGCAGAATCCTGTTGCTGATCTACGATCTACGTTCACCAATTCAGGGAATCCAACACTTCGTGGAACAGCAATTCTAAGCTTTCTGATGCTCATTTTTGTGACTGAACCTTTTGGAATTGTAGCAGATCCTCCAGGCCATATAATATCTTCAAGTCCACCAGAAGTATTACTCAATGATAATTCTCTTCCATGAATGGATGAATATAATTCTCCAGCAATTTTTCCTTCAGGAGTCCAAAACCCAACTCTTCGTTCCCCTTTTCCTATCATATTCACTATCTCAAATGCATTTAGATCTAGTTTCCCATTAATAAATTGAAAATCGCCACTTAAACCTTTGAAATTACTACGCAGAAGTATTTCTATAAGGAGTATTTCTTTAGGCCTTGCCCTTTCAACTGCTTTTGCCAGACCCCAAGCAACATCATATGCCAATATACAAAATGGGGTTAACTCCATTACTTCCATATCGGTTTCAAGAAGAAATTTTTTTCTCCATCTTGAAGTAAAATTGTGTAGCTCCTTTGAAGGTGGAACATAGGATTTGAGACCGATCACTCCTTGCATTGAGTCCATAACCTCAAACGATCTTGTGGAATGCAAGTGATTCATATTCATACTATTTACAGTCAGGATCCAAGCATAACCTTTTTTCATCATTCCTAATTTCTTTGCACTCATGAATAAACGAGATGCGAGAATAGGTGACATATGCACAATAAAAACCGTTGGTCCGAATGCCATGAGTTTGTTCAGCTCTTCATTGATTTGATTATCAGCTGATGAGACGGCAAGCGAGCTTTTGTATGCAATATGGATGTTTTTATCTTGCAAGGACTCAACCAAATGCAGGATAAAAACTCTCCATTCATCACTGTCCTCGTGTATCGTAATGACATTTTTCCATTTGAATGCTTCAACAATGGCAGCGATGGCCGCTACTTGAGAGGTTTCATCTTGTGCGATTTGGACTAGATAAGGGTATAATTTGTTTGAGAAAGGAGAAGTTGAAGGTGTAGAAAATGAAATAATGGGGATTTTAGCTTTATCTCCTAGCTCACCCAAAAATTTCGTTTCCATTGATGATTGTGCACCTATGAATATGATTGCCTTCAAGTTGAAATTTTCCAAAAGATCAAAAGCTGCATGGAGCAAGACATTTAATCACTTAGGATTCTAAGGTAGAAATTATAATTTTAAATTAAAAAATAATAATTTAATTAAATACTTATTTATATAAAATCATTTTATGATTTATATTCAATTTAAGGTATTTTACAAATAGACACACAACCAATTTTCAATTTTAAAAACTACTCTAATATACCCTTTAAAATCCTTTATATAATAGAACATCTCTATAATCACAGTGGTGAGATTAAACTAATTTTATTATTGCGAAAAAGTTATAATTTAATAGAGATGTAGTTATAAAATTAAATTATTATTTTGACTTAGTTATTCTTAGCGCAAGTGGTATAAAAGTAAAGTATGTACTACATTAATAATTAAAGAGTAAACGACATGTTCCCACCCAAGGTTTAGTGAAATCCCAGGTTGGTATCCCTGATTTCGTAAATTTCATATTCCCACTCTTAAATTGACATCGTTAGTGATGAATGGGTTCTCACACAGGGGCAAATGGCTTTTTTACCAACTACCCTTACACCTTCTTCTTCATCATCTCCCCTACCACCATCATATGAACCCCTGTCCTCTACTCAACAAAGCACACCCCTCCACCGGCCGTCCCCACTCACCATTTGCTATCCACGGTCTACTCCAAGGGCTGTATGATAGTTGTACTTTGCGACATTTCCCTCTATAAATCGTCAGTTTTTTCCCTCCGCATGACAGGGGCAGTTGTGTGTGGCCTTGGTGAAGAAAGAGTGTAGAGAGAGGGAGAAAACGAGAGGAACAAAGAGAGAGAGAGAGAGAGAGAGCGCCACAGTGAAGGAAAGGACCATTTTAGCCTTTAATGGATAAAAAATGAAACGGCATCCATTTAAGGGTGGGAGTTTGGAATTTATGAAACCAAGGGTACCAACTGGGATTTCGCTAAACCTTGGGTGCGAACATGTCGTTTACTCATAATTAATTAATGGAGTATGTCATATCCAAGGTGCAGATAAAAGAGATAGACAGTTTTAAAAAATTAGTATATTTATCTATGTAATATTGGAATATGCAAAGTCATCTTAAAAGTTTAAAATTTTGCATTCTCTTGAATGTTTTTCTCTCACCGTAAATTCTATAAATACATTATACTATAACATAATGCATGCAATCTTCAACAAATTCAAGTACCATAGCATATATTTTTTAAAATATCGAGATGAATTTATATACACAACAGTTGGTGATGAGAAATCTCACCGAAAATCATGAACGAAAAAAGAAAAGTATACATAAAATAATAACACAGTGAAGCAGCTGGAGTAAGTTGTTAAAACATGATATGATCGTTGAAAATCAACTATAAAAGCTCACCGGAAGATATAGCAAGTAGATGTTGTCCTTTGGAATCACTTGTGCGAAGAACAATTCTTGTTTTGTAGTAACCATTTACACTGTAAAAATCTGAAATTGCCATGGAAATGGAGCTTTGCATCATCCTCCCCTCCCATGAACCCATATCAACGATCAATCCAACATCAATCTCCACGTGAGATTTATCGAGTTGAGCAAGCAATATTATTGGAGCATTGAAGCTGAAAAAGATGAAAAGGTAGAGCCTGCAGAAGATTCGGGTCTTCTTCTTAATCTCCATGTGCAACCTCTGTTTATAATATTTCTTTGGTTTATATATGTTTATGAATTATGACAGTCGTGGTCTCGGGTAGACTTAGAAACACTTTGAAAACTACACAGAAATTTCTAAGAAGCAAGCAAGGAATCTATAAAACCCTCCACGAATTCAAAACATTTAGAACATCAGATATATTATTGGTTTGTGGTGATACTTCTATGAAACCGTAGACTCTATCATGAAAGCAAAAACTTTTATGGTAAACTGATGAAAGAATTCATTTTAATTTCTAAAATTTAATAATAAATGTATGAGTGTGTGTGTATATATATAATTTCTAGAAGAAAATTAGTTTTCATTGAAAAGTGTGAAGCAAGTTTGGGTCAACACGCTCAATCAAGTTTACACATTGAATAGAAAGTTGATGTTTTTGAATTTGATTCTTTAGAAAGTTTCCCACGCGGCTAAAGACTTTGGTAAAAACAAATTGTGTAACAAAGCATAGAAGAAAGGGAAAAAGGCTGAGTTGCAGAGAGCATCATGCACGAAGGGGCTGGAAAGTTTCCACAGTCTATTGAATTCATAAAATGCACGGTACAAGCAGGTCCTCATAGACACACTCTGCTCTAACAAACTAACAGAATCCTATACCAAAAGTAGATGCCAGCTAATTAAAATAATACTTTCTGAGAATAAAATAAAATACAAGTAAAACAAATAAGACAAAATATTTATCCTTTTCTCAAACGACTTGCAGCTGTGGTAGGAATGAGACGACTTGTCGTTGGTGCATACTCAGCGTGTAATAAATTGATTGACTTTAATCAATTATAAAGAGTTTAACATTATTATATTTGTTTGCTGATATACAAATATTCAATGACTTAGTCGGCAATAAAAATAACGACACCATTAGATAACATTACAGTGGCCACTCAATCTCTTTTAACCCCAATATTAATTATAATCATTTTAAAAATATAATTTAAAAAACATATCATATTTCATTCCAAGATTACTGTTGTAGTTAACACACACAAAGATCTAATCAAACAAACTAATCAAGCAACCATACAAATCAATACCACACTTTTACTGTGGTTCACCTTTCAAAGAATTAGAAAGATTACATCCACGTTGAGCTCTAAAAACAGGAGAAACTTGTTGCATTATGAAGAATCAGTGTTTACAGATTGCAGACACCAGATCAGTTGATCTATGAACCAACCCTTAATCGAACTTAACTTGTAACTAATACCCTAGAGAAGCAAATCCAAGATTCCCTAGCCCTTGAGAGACAAACCCCCTCACAGAATGACTAATCCTAATCACTCAAACTCTAGTTACAAAAGGTACCAATCAATAACTCAAGAACCCTAATAGAGCTAATTTTCCCTTTCTCTAAATCAGAATCAAGCCAAGAGAGGAACAAACCCGATAATTCCTCTGCTTAAATACCGTTGACCAAGTCTGGAGTGAATTGTAGCCTTTGGATCTCATAACAACTGACGGCCTTGATTTATCTTAGACACACTTGAAATGATAGCATATTACCCTTATGTATTATGACATCGTTTTAGTCTTCACACTTACAATTACCCTCACTAATATTTTCTTTAGAAATCTTTTAGTTAAGCCGAGATTAAATTCTTTCAATAACATCATATTTCCTCTCAAACATCTACTTGAATATTTTTTAATCCAAATACCACTCCACCACGTTTAATGCCTCCTTTACTATAGAGGAACAACGTTTCAAAGTTGTCAAGCAAAAAGTCGTTTGTTGCAAGAAGAGGATCGATGATGGGAGCCTTGTTCGTATTAGCATACTTCCAGTTTTCATTATTATTATTATTATTTTTAAACCAAGAATGTAGATGCCAAAAGATTAAAGCAAAGAGAATTTGAAGATAAAAAGAAAAATTAAACTTACCTTTTCATGATTTTTTTTGTTTTTGTTAATTGAAGTGTTCGGATCAGTTTAGGCGTACCTCAATTAATCTTCACCGTCTTGGCTCCCTAGATAGATCATGGACAAAAGGACTATCTTTGTGCATAGTGGAGAATCAAACCTGACACTATGAGTTGAAGACATGCACAACTCTCTTGATTCGCTCTTACCACTAGACTACCAATGGGGGAGTACCTTTTCATGGTTATTGTTTTTCCATTGATTGAGTTGAAACTATGTTCCACCATTTCTAAATATTTTAAATCTAAAAAAAAAAAAAAGAATCCCAAACATTTAAAAGGGTTTAGGGTTTCAACAGGGGTGAAACCGAAAATTTAATTCGGGTTCAGGGAGAGCTGAATTTTTTTTTTTGCTTAAGACAGAATAATAGAAAATAAAAAATAAAAACTAAATTACCTTTTTATGATTTTTTTTGTTTTTGTTAACTGGGTGTCTGAATCAATTTATTATACGTCGTAATCCTCACATGCCTTAACGCCCTAAGTAGATCATAGTAAATGTACTATTTTTGTATATAGTGAAGAATCAAACCTGATATGTAGGTTAAAGATATGCACAAACTTCTTAATTCGCCCTTACCATTGGGCTACCAATGAATGGGTACCTTTTCATTATTATTGTTTTTCCATTGATTGAGTTGAAACTACCTTCCACCATTTCTGAATATTTAAATCTTAAAAAAAAAAAAAAAAAAATGAATCCCAAACATGTAAAAGGGTTTAGGGTTTCAACAGGGGTGAAACCAAAAATTTAACTCGGGGAGAGCTATTTTTTTTTTTTGTTAATATCAAGAAAAAAAAATGTTGCAAATGATACTAGCGATAGGGGTAGAGACCTATATATTAATTTATTTTTATAAAGAATGATAAGATAAAAATTCATTTTAAATTAGGATTCTGAAATCTTTTTTAATAAAAATATGAGAACAAAAAAAATTCCTTTCATTAAGATTGATAAAATGAAAGATACAAGTTTTTAACAATGAGGATGGATATACAAAGTACAAACTACAATAATCTTTAAGGATTATAAATAAGTATAATGTAAATATGTATATAGAATTAATTTAGTGGTTTATATTGGAGTTGTTAATTAATGAGTTTTTAATCATTCAATATTTCATCTTAGTTTTTCAAATAATTAGCCCATATGAAACACAACTACAAAAGCAAAACTCAATTTTTATTAACTATTCTAGTTTAATATTTTTTTTTTTTTACCAATAAATTTGACTAAATCCCAAATATAATTTATTTTTGATGTGAATTGGATTAGGACGGAGTGGTGTTATTCAAGCTCCATGCAATCTCTTTGTAAGCTCCAATATTGATTAAAAATATTATATTAAAAATTTTAATTTATTTCAAAATTGTCATTTTTCTAATCTTTTTAACCTATTCTATTCTGGTTGAGAAACAATAAAATAATCATGAATAGAAATAACAAAATAAATATAATTTCATTAAAAAATTGCCCTGATTTATTTTGCCCATGATTTACCTCTGAGGCCGTAGCGGTTGATTGTTGTGAGATAGTTTCCCTTGAAGATTAGTTGAGGTGCACGTAAACTGACTCGGACACCTCAGTTAACAAAAAAAAGTAAAAAAATAAGATTTCATTAAAAAGAAATTATTAGTATACTTTTACCCTTATTTTTTTAATTTAATTATTTCCACCGATAATGCTATGATTTAAATTAATTTAGAAAAATAATATATTTATCTAATTAATTATGGAAATAGAAGATGAATGTGATAATATGTCCCATAATTATGCGAAAAACTTGTGCTTTGATTTTAAGGAATGAGAGCCAGAGAATCCCTATCTCTTGCACAAGTTTATTTGGGCCAGTTTCCCTTGAGTTCTCATTATGATGGCAATGGGCCGGGCCGGGATCGGGTACCCTTGGCCCAGGCCAAAGCCGACCTCATGACCAGGCCCAAGCCCGCCCGTGCCCGCTACGGGTATGATAGGCAAAGCCCGCCCGCCCAACGGGTTTTTATAACCGCAGGCCCGGCCAAGCCCGCCTTTTTTAATAATGTTTATTTTAAATATTAATAAATTTCAAATTTTTTTATATTTTTAATTTTAGAAATGGTTTTTAAATATTATTGAAACTATTTCCGCAAATAATTTAAGCAATAAGTGAGCAATTAAAACTCCATAATAGTTGATTATACTAACTTTTCAGCTGTGCATAATGTTATGGTGAAATCCACTTTAATAAGTTGAACCAAACCCATCTAACTCATTTAAAGGCAATTTTAACATGTTAAACCTTTAATATGGGATGAAAATTGAGGTTAGGGTTTGGGAAAAATGGATAATTATATAGGATAATATTGTAATTAAATATAGTATAAGGGTAAATTAGTAAAATTAATAAAATTTTCGCCGGGCCTAAGATATACCCATGCCGCCCGTACCCGAGGTCGGGCCTTAAATTAAGCCCAGGCCCAAGCCAAGCCCGCCAACCTGCGGTCAAGCCCGCCCCTTTCGGGTCGGGCCGGGTACCCAAAAAATATCGGGCTCATTGCCATCTCTAGTTCTCATATTAAGCCAACGGTTACGGTCTCTTTGAATGTTTTTATTGCACGCCAAACATTCTCATTCCTCCACGGCTATTCAACCTATACTTCATCTCTTCACTCTCATTTTCATTTTCAACTCCTCCCTCAATCTCCTACTGCTTCTCCATTTTCGTTTCTTCCTGGACACCTCCACTAAATTTCACAAGGCCCCCAGAAAATGTCCAAAATCATTTGCAAATCCAATGAAGATGTACAGCTCCCTTCTGAGTTTGATCATTAATTTTCATCTTTTTCATAACTTGAATAATTTAACTCATTTAATTGTTTTAATATGTTGAAATTGTCAGGATTATCTCATAGATGCTCCGTTTCTGTTGGTGATGGCTTTCCTTTCGTGGAGGTACATACCCATCAAATTAGTTATTTCATTTTTTACTGTTTAATTATTAAGAATATTATCGAAGGAGATGTGGTTGTTTTGTTCAGGCAAATATTCAGATGTCATCACCTTCTGTGAATCGTTTAAGCAAGGAAAATGGTAAGTGTACTAGGAAACTTTCTTGTAGTAATTTTTATTTACTTTTT